GCGTCGAGTCCACAGGACTCGCTGGGAATCCGGGTTTTAGCACGGACCTAGCATCCAGGCGGCAGAAAAACCAACTTCGCAGCTCACTTTTTTTCTTTTCTTGCGGGGGGGGGCGGTGTTTCCGGTACCGAGAATCGAACTCACGACCTTGCGCTTGCCAAGCGGGCGCTGTGCCGCTGAGCTAAATCCCCAACCCCGCAACTCACTTTTTCATTCATCTTTTCCCTCGCTTGACGCCGTTGTTAAGCATGTGTGTGCACACCTGTAATCCCAGCTACTCAGGAGGCTGAGGCAGGAGGATCTAAAATCCCCGACCAGCCTGGGCAAGTCATAGACACCCTGTCCCAAAATAAAAAATACAAGGGCTGGGGATGTCGCTCCGAGATGGGTGCTTGTCTACGTGGGAGGCCCTGGGTTCAATCCCCAGTACCGCACGCGCGCGAAGCAGCAGCAGGCTTTGTGCCCGCGGTGCACGGGCTGCCTGTGTATTCCGGTCTGTGCTCTGCGGCGCAGGCGGTACTAGAAAGATTGCTAGAATGCAGAATCTCGGGCCCTAGGCCAGATCCTGTGAATCAGAATTTGCGTGTCAGCGAGGTTCCCAGGACACTCCTCTCCCTTTCCTTCACTCACCCCGAGACAGCCGGAAGCAGGATTCCGGGCGGCGGGTGGGGTGGAGGCCTGCAGCCCGGGTCATCACCCTGGTGCCACCTGTGTGCTCTTCAGGGCGCAGAAGGGCCCGCCAGGCTGGAAGGCTCAGCTGCCTCGCCTCAGCCTCTGCTGACACGTCTGTCCCGGCCTGGGAGGGAAGGGCGGGCTGGACGGGCTTCCGGCCAGACAGTGGGACTGGGACCCACCTTGCTTGCCCTCCTCTCGCGGCTGCTCCCTGCCGGCGCTTCCTTCTGGCCTCCTCCTGCCTGCTCCTTGGCAGAGCCCCTGCCTCCCTGCCTCCCTCCCTCCCTCCCTCGGCAGCACAGCCCTGCGCTTCGCTGTGCGGGTGTGAGGCTCCAGCTTGGGAGGGGAGCCGCGGCCGGGAGGCTCCCTGCCAGGCTTCCTGCCTGCGTGTTGTCGGCCTGCTCGCTCCAGCCGCAGCCCGGTCTGTGTGGTTCCCTGAGCTCAGCCTACTCCTGCCCGGCAGGGAAGGTTGAATCTCCTGTGCCCTTGTTCTTGCTCGGCTCCTGTGCTGTTTCCAGGCATAACAAGCTGGGCTGAATAGTCCAGGCCTGGGTGATTTAGCTGGGGTTGGGGACTTGGAGAGGAGCAGGCCAGGTCTGAGCTGTCTGGGGAGAAGAGCTGGCCCGGCAGAGGGTAAGACCAGGATGTCTGAGTGCCTCAGAGCCACATGTGTACACACACATGCACACGCACACACGCACACACAGTTTTGTTTTAAACTGTCTTGTTCTGTAATTTAGGCTGGCCTTGAACTTGTACGATCCTCCTGCCTCAGCCTCCCAAGTACTGGGGTTACAGGTGTGCACCACCACACCCTGCACAATTTTTTGCCTCTGTATCACCTTTGAAAAATAATGTGCTTTTCCTGTCCAAGGTGGAAAACCACAGCAAGGGTCATAACCAGAAACTGTCCCTTTCTGACCCTGGGCCTCAGGAGCCCTCCCACGCCCCCTGTGCCTCACCTCTCCCGCTGGGTCGAGTGCACGGCGGTGTCAGCCTGCCCCTCCTCTCTTCCAGGTTTCTCTTCGGAGACCGGCCCTTCTGGTGGGTGCACGAGTCCGGGTACTATAGCCAGGCTCCAGCCCAGGTTCACCAGTTCCCTTCTTCATGTGAAACTGGTCCAGGTGGGCAGCCCATGCCTCTTCCTCTCCCGAGTTGCCCAGGTTTCTGTGAGCACCTCCACCAGGGCTGGCCTCTTGGCCCCCAGCCCAGAAAACAAACCCCAGGAAGAGCAGGTTGGGTAATAGGAGGTGCCCAGGCCGTGGGCCAGCTGCCCACCTTGCACAGAACGGAGCCAGCAAGCCACGTGCAGGGTGCACACCTGCAGTCCCAGTGCTCTGGGAGGCTGAGGCAGAAGGGTCACAAGTCTGAGCCCAGTCTGGGCAACTTAATGAGATTCTGTCTCAAAATAGAAGTATAAAAAGGGCTGAGGATGTAGCTCAGTGTATTGGGTTCAGTCCCCAGTATGGCAGACAGACAAACAGCAGAGAACTCCGAGAGACAGGGCCGGGCAGAAGGCCGAAGGCTGTGTCTTCAGGTGGTGAAAGAAAGGGCCACTGGCCAGAGGGGGCAGCTGACTGGTGCTGGGCAGCTGCTCATGGGGGCGGGGGGAGCGGGACCCCAGTCCTCAGGAGGCTGAGGCGGGAAGATGGCAAGTGCAAGGCCAGCCCGGGCTGTGTCCAGACACCCTGTCTCAGCCAGGGAGGCAGCTGCGTCTGCTGTCACCGTCCCTCACCCCAAGTCCCTGGTTCCCACAGGCAGCCCTTCCGGACACTGCATGATCACGGGGGCCGCGCTGTGGCCCGTGATGACGGCACTGTCTTCCCAGGTGGCTGCCCGGTCACGCAGGTAACCAGTGGGAGCAGGGTGGGGCGCAGGAGCAGGTGGCTTCGCGGGACCCCATGGGCTGGTGTCTGTCTTTCAGCCGCTGGGTGCGGGCCATGCCTAGCCTGGCCTACTGCACCTTTCTGCTGGCCGTCGGGCTGTCCCGGATCTTTCTCCTGGCGCACTTCCCCCACCAGGTGTTGGCTGGGCTGGTGGCCGGTGAGCCCGGGGATGGGGGTGGGCCCTTCGGGTCTCCGCGCTCCCTGCCTCCCCAGAGCTCAGGGGTCCCGTGTCTTAGTCCGTTCTCCCGCTGAGCTGCGCAGTGGCTTGGGCGTTGGGGTTGGGGTGTCGCCTCCTGGACATTCACTGCTTCCCCTTGTGCCCCAGGTGCAGCCCTGGGCTGGCTGATGACCCCCCGAGTGCCCGTGGAGCGGGAGCTCAGCTTCTACGGGCTGACCGCGCTGGCCCTCATGCTGGGCGCCAGCCTCATCTACTGGACCCTTGTTACGCTGGGCCTAGACCTTTCCTGGTGAGTTGCCCTGGAGCCTGGGCAAGCTGGGTTGTCCCGCCTGTGACCCCTCCGGCCCTCCTGCCTCAGCCTCCTAAGCAGCTGAGGTTAGAAGCTAGTGGATCTTTGGTTCATTATGGCAAAAAGAGGATCTGTGCCCTGACCCTGGCACGGGCTATCATGGTACAGCGGGATGTGGAGGGGCCCCGGGCTCCCGGTACCACCCTCCCACAAGGATGCTCCCGCAGGTCCATCAGCCTGGCCTCCAAGTGGTGCGAGCGGCCTGAGTGGGTGCACATTGACAGCCGGCCCTTTGCCTCGCTGAGCCGGGACTCGGGGGCCGCCCTGGGCCTAGGCATCGCCCTGCACTCGCCCTGCTACGTCCAGGTCCGCCGGGCGCGACTGGCCGGCAGCCAGAAGATGGCCTGCCTGGCACTGGCCATGGGGCTGCTGGGTGCCCTGAGCTGGCTGGGCCACCCGCCCCAGGCCAGCCTCTTCTACATCTTCAACTTCCTCAAGTACACGCTGTGGCCCTGCCTGGTGCTGGCCCTGGTGCCCTGGCTGGTGCACTCGCTCAGCACCGTGGAGGCCCCGCCCGCCCACTCCTCCTGACCGCCTGGCCACACTCCAAGCACAGCCCCAACCCGCCCTTGCCGAGGGTCCTGCTCCTCACACCTGGCCTTGCCCCCAGGAGGCCCCTCCAGTCTCCCTGCTGCCCCTGCCCTTCCAGCTCCATACAAAGGGAGCTAGACCCATGTGTTCCTACAACTCGGGTAGGGGCAGGAACTCCAATAAAGTCCTGAAAACTTGGGGTTCCTTTGTTTTATTTTTGAGATGTCTATGTGTTTCATTTTGTATACTTCTATTTTTTTGTACCGGGAATCGAACTCAGGACCTTGCGCTTGCCAGGTGCTTATGCCATTGAGCTATATCCCCAGCCCCTCACTATATATTTCAGGCTGCCCTTCCACCCTCAGAAATCTTCCTGCCTCTGCCTCCTGAATGCTGGGGTACAGGCATGCACCGCTGTGCCTGGCCTGGGGTTCCTTGTTTTCTGGTTCTCACATCTCCGCCAACCTTGCCTGCTCTGCTGGGGCCCTACTGAGGCCAACCTGCGCGCACACAGGCAGAATCAGGAAGAAGGGGCTCTTAGGCTGAGGCCATGGGAGCGGCCTGAAGGGTGGGTGATGGTGGGTGAACCCTATCCTCCGTCCCACCCAGCCTCTACTTTCCCAAATTGGCTCTGGTCCAGGCTGCTGAACAGGACGTCTTTCTGGCTGGGAACCTCTACCCAGCTGGGAGTCCAGAGAACAGATGTGGACCCCAGGAGGCTCCAAAGACAAGTTTATTTACACAAGGACATGGGGGACGGGTCACAATGGGACAGGAGCCACAGCAGGGGACAAAGCAAGGAGGAAGCTTGCGGGACGGACATGAGCCAGGCCCCTGGGCCCCTGCTCGCTATAGGAGGGTCCAGATGGCCTCCTGCCCTCCCTGCCCTGGGCCTGGCTCAGCCCTGCAGAGGTAGGAAGAGGGGCGCTGAGTGTGGAAGGGGTGGTCAGGCCCCTGGAGCCACTTCCCACCTCTGGTTTCCTGCAGCTGACTCTGCTCCACCAAGAAGAGGCCAGGCCCCAGGCCCCAGGCCCCTGGTTCTGGCTCCATGGTGGCGGCCGGCAGGGAGACAGCCGGGACAGGGCTGGTGCTTGGGCTCTGGGCCCCTCACCATCCTGGAGAACCCAATCTATAGCCCCTGGAAGGGAGGTGAGCCACACCCTTCTCTGCAGGGCCCATCGGCACCCAGGAGGGTAGGGAGCCACAGCCAGCCACAGCCAGCCACAGCCAGCCACAGCCAGGCCCAGCCCGACCCCCGATTTCCCTCTGCCCTGGCCAGACAGCCTGGCCCCAAACTACAGGAGAGGGACTGTGGCACCATGGGGACACAGGAAGGGACAGCAGTGGGTCCTCCCTGAGGCCAGAGGGGGGGCACAGCCAAGCCAGGGCACCCACGGCTGCTCCCACCTCGCCTGAGCCCTAGTGCTGCCCAGCCCCAGGGGTCAGTGCAGGGACACAGAAGTGGCTGTGACAAGGGCCCAGGCAGGGCCACAGGGCGCGGCTGAGACATCAACACGGCACACGCTGTTGAATGTGTGACTTTTTGTTTTTAATAGAAAAAATAAACAAAATCACAATGATGAAGGCCGGGCCAGGGTCACGGGGCGGGCTCCTGCTCCATGGGCTCCTCCGCCGGCCTGCAGGACAGATGGACTTGAGCCAGGGCTGCGGCCGGGGGGGTAGGGCAGGCAGCAGCAGGACTCACCTGGCTCTGTGCTCCTGGGCCGAGGCCTGGGCCTGCTCCGCACCCACGGACAGCAGTGCCATGGCGCTCACAGTCTCCGCCTCCTCCGCCTCGCCTGCCTGGGCCTCCCGCAGGGAGCGGCCCAGCCCAGCTGCAAACCTCTGCAGGCAGCTCCAGTGTTTGCCTGTGGGCACGGGTGCGGTCAGAGTTAGGGGTCCGGACTTCAGCCCTGCCAGCCGAAACTCCCACCAGGCCAGGCCCGGCTCTGCCCCACACACCCTGGATCTCGATGACTTTCTCCAGCGTGGCCACCGCATTGACGTTGGGCTTCTGCTGCAGGATGGCCTCGTCCAAGGGCTGCAGCTGGCAGGAGAGAGGGCTTGGGCCTCGGATACAGGCAAGCCCTGCCCAGCACCCCTCCCTGGCCTCAGGACCCTGTTCCCCTCCAGGCCCTCACCTCCACGCTGAGTAGAGCAGAGACGCAGGCCTCAGAGGCATCACAGATGGCGGTCAGGTCATGGCCCCCCTCCAAGGCCAGCACCACCCGGCCCCCTGCCAGCGTCATCAGCTGCCTGGTCAGGTGGCCAAAGCCTTGGGCATAGGTAGGAGAAGAACAGGTGGTAAATGGTGCCACCCAAGAGTCAATGCAAGAGGGGAGAGGATGAACAAAAAGAGGCGCCAACGGCCGAAGCGTGGCAGACTGAAACCTCTCCGAGGCACAACCTAGGGTCTCTGGGCTAACGCCTCGGTCAGAGAGGAACCGTCAGTGGTAGAGAAATCCACTCTGCACCAAGGTATAAAGAATACCACTAAGAAAAAAAAAAGAATACCGCTGCCAGATGTAGGGGTACACCTGTCATCCCAGCATTTGGGAGGCTGAGGCTACAGAATCCCTGGGAGTTCAAAGCCAGCTTGAGCTACACAGTGAGATCCTGTCTCAAAAGCCAAAACAAAGCTAGGGATATAGCTCAGTGGCACAGCGCCTGCCGGGCAAGTTAAAAAAAAAACCCACCAAGTAAGTAAAACTAAAACAATCTAAGATGATCCCCAGTATCCCCCCAGAAAGGGCACCTGGGAACACGGGAAGCAGCAAGCCCTCCCAGACACATCTCCCGCCGCGCAGAACAGGCCCCCGCTGCCCTTCCCTTGCTGTGGCCCTGCCGGAGCACTCCCTCCCCTGCCCAACCCCAGTGGCTCACATCTGGCGGTGACAGAGTAGCCACCCAGGGGGGACAAGTGTCCTTCCACGGCGTCGAAGCCGGCGGAGACCAGGACTACGTCGGGCGCGAACTCATGAGCAATGGGCATGACCACAGTCCTGCAAGCACACCCTCAGTGGGACCACGCCCCCTGCACCCACTCCAGGGCCGAGACCATGCCCTCTGCCTCCGCCCCACATCCCCACCTGAAGGCTGCCAGGTACTCCACATCTCCAATAGGAGGGTCCACGCCGCCGGTCCAGGCCACGTTCACGTTGTACCCCACGCCGGGGCCCCCACCAACCTGGAAGAGGGCAGGAGGGAAGGAAGGAGGAGGTGACTCTCGGCGGGCACCCCCGCCCGCGCTTGCCTCCGGGAGCCCACCGCACCTCTTCGGGAGCCCCGGAGCCCGGGAAGAAGTTGCCGTTGTCGTAGCGGTGCAGCGAGATGTAGAGCACGGAGGGATCGGTGTAGAAGGCCTGCTGCGTGCCGTTGCCGTGGTGGATGTCCTGGGGGACACGGGACATGCCTGACCAGCCGCCCTGCATCCTAGAGAGGGCCCACTGCACCAGCCGGGACGCAGGGCTCGGCTCCCCACAGCCTGGCCCGTGGGGCAGTCCGGGGGCACACGGAGGCCTGAAAGGCCCCCCCATTCACCATCTTCTCTTCCTCTCTTGCTTCTGGGGAAGGAACTCAGGGTCCAGTGCCTGCCACACACGCACTCCACCACTGAGCTGCATCCCCAGCCCTCTCACAAGAGTTTAAACTTTTATTTACTTATTATCTCAGGGTCTCACTATATAGTCCAGGCTGGTCTTGCCAGACTCACAGCAACCCTCCTGTCTCAGCCTCCCCAGTACCTATGATCATCGGTGTGTGCGACCATACCTGGCTTTCACTATGAATTTTTAAACAAATTAGGCTCTGAAGGATTTCCGGTGCTGAGAGTACTCCTGTGAAGTCCCCAGGCACAGCAGGTGGGGGCTGGTTGCAGCATCCCCAGTCCCGTGGCTCAGTGGGAGGCCTAATGGGGTCCTCACACACAGAAACCTTCATTCCCATCACTTGGGGAGGCCAGGCCGGCTCCTGACTGACGCCAGCCCAGGCTGGAGGGCAGAGGAGAAAGGTGGCTTCCGGCAGTGCAGACGGCACTGTCTCTACTGGTTCAGGCTAGACACCCTCCACTTGGGGCTGCTGGAGAGGCCCCCATGCACAAGGGTGGCGGCACCTGTGGGCGAGGGGCCGCACCTACCCAGTCCACGATGAGGACCCTGCCCACGCTCAGCTTCTGCTGCAGCAGCTTGGCCGCGATGGCCACGGAGTTGAAGAAGCAGAAGCCCCTGCAGGAAGAAGGCTCAGTCAGCCTCGGCCTCTGCGGAGGCCACGCCACTGCCGCCCTGGCCAGGCCGGGCTAGGCCGCACTCACATGGCGGTGGACTCCTCAGCATGGTGTCCTGGAGGCCGGATGATGGCAAAGCCGTTCTGAAAAGGCACAAGCAGAGGGACAAGGCCAGATGCAGGGCAGCAAGGTGGCCAGAAAGGGCGGGGGGGGCGGGGGGGGCAGGAGCAGAAGCCAGGCGGGCTGGAGACACAGTCAGACAGGCACACGGAAGCTGGGGTACCGCTGGGGTCCCTGCCAGGGCCTGCCAGGGTGCTCTGCACTGATCCCTAGCTTGGCCCCTTTTCCTCTTTGCACCTGGCTGTCCAAGGGGCGTCACTGCCCTGCTGTTGCCCCCAAGAGCTGAGATCTCAGAGGCAGACCCTGGGAGGGGAAACCATGGCCACAGACACAAGGCCGCAGCGGCCCTCACCTTCAGCTCACCCGAGGCCACCTTGAAGGCCAGCTCCAGCAGGCAGCCCACAGCCATGCGCACGGCGCTGGAGGAGTGCATCTCGTTCCACACGGTGTCGCTGTCCACCTGCAGTAGGGCAAGGCTCAGCGGACGGGAGGGCTGGGTCCAGCCCCGTGCCCACCTGACCCCCATGCAGGTGGTCGCAGGCTACTCACCCCAATGCCCCCACAGGGCAGCACAGCATACATCTTCTGGCTGATGGGGCCTGAGGGACAGGACAGAGCTGCCATGTCTCGGCCGGGCTGCACTGGCCCGTCACCCGCCCTCCGTCCCGGCTGCGCTGTGCCCCCAGGCTGGGAGCCACCCTCACCGAGCAGCTTTTTGCTGTCCAGCTTCTGCCGGTTGAGCGGGCTGGTCCCGTAGAGCAGTGTGTGCAGCTCCGAGTGCACTGTCTGGATCTCGTCCAGGGTGGCCTTGCGGCCCCGGACCCGCTGCGGGCAGCGGGAGAGGCTGCATGGGGCCTGTGAGCCCACAGCCAGGTCCCCTGGGGCCCACCCTGGACACTGCCCTGCTGCCGGCCAGGACCAGGAGGGCAACAGGCAGGGCGGGCACGGGCTGGAGCGGGGTCGGGTCCTCACCTCGCACTTGCCCAGCAGCCCTGTCTCCTGCAGCCTGGACCAGATGCTCTGGATGCGGCCGGCGTGCTCGGGGTGGACGTGCGTGTTCCCGCACACACACTGGTGCTTCAGCATGAACGTGTCGTACACCACACCTGGGCACAGACCCTGTCAGTCGGCTGCCACTCTCAGCCACAGCCCCTCAACTCACGGGGCTGAGCTCCACCCTGCCCACCTGGCCTGAGTGCCACGATGTGGGCCAACCCTGACCCCAACTTGGACTCCAACTCCGACACACGGTGGACAGGGGAGTCAGGCAGCCCGTGCCCCCCAACCGGTGCCGGGAGCAAACAACACGGGTGGTAGGTGCTCACCAGTGGTGAAGAGGAGCTGGGTGGGCGGGTCTGGGGGGCTTTTCAGGCCCCCCGGTGCAGCAGGTGAGGACTGGGTGCGGCCCAGGGCCTGGTGGGGTACAGTGGCCAGGCTGAGGGGCGCCTGGTACACACGCAGGGGCGGCAGCTGCTGAGCGTCTGCGAACAGCTGGGGCGAGGGGCGGGAGTGAGGCCCGGGCGGGGAGGAGCTCCTCCCCAGGGCCCAGGCCTCCCAAGGACAGGCGAGGGCCACGCACGCCCCCGAGATGAGTGAGTCATCCAAGCACGCTGAGGGAAGCAAGCGGCGGGGCAGCGGGGGCGGCATGAGTCAGGCCGCTCGGCCGCTCTTCTGTGAATGGAGCGACGTAGCAGCAGTGGGCGGTGTGTACACACGGCACACACAGACGGCACACACAGACGACGCGGCACAGACGGCGCGGCACACACAGACGGCGCGGCACACGCAGCCGTGCCTGTGCACAGAGCACAGCGCCCCCAGCCACGCCCTGCTGCAGCTTCGTGGGGGCAGGACAGGAAGGCACCTTTTTGTAGCCAGTGCCGGGCTCCTCCAGGTCGGGACTCTCCTCAGGGCTGCTGTCGCCTGCTGGGTCCTGGACCTGGATGCAGCCGTCCTCCTCGTCCTCCTCCTCATCCTCCTCTTCCTCCTCCAGGTCCTCCTGGGTGCTCTCGCTCTCCGTGGAGCCCTCCCGGGGCACCGTCAGGGGCCCCTCAACCAGCAAGGCCTCCTGCTGCTCTGTGAGCTCCTCCTCAGTCTCCTCAGGGTGCGTGGTGGGCGGCCTGGGCAGCTCCCCGGTCTTAGTGAGGATCTGGCCACAGAAGGCAGAGGCACATGTCTGTCACCCCAGTGCTCGGGAGGCTGAGACAGGGAGACTCCCACAAGTCTGAGGCCAATCTGTGCGCCATAAGGAGACCCAGTCTCAAAAACCAAGAAACAAAACAGCAAAGGCACTGCCCGCTGGCCTCCCGCAGCCTGCTTGCCCCACACACCTTGCCCAGCTGCAGCTGCTGCTGCTTCTGCTTCTCCAGGAACTGCTGCTGCGTGACGAGCTGCTGCAGCGCCTGCGGGCTCTGCGGGAGTGGTGAGGACTGCGTGCGGCTCAGCGGCCGGTGCCGGGGCAGCTTGCCCACTGTCCTCATGCTGGTGGCCACGCGCTCGCCAGTCACCAAGGGGGACTGCCCGTGGAGCGGCACTGGGGAGGCAGAAGCGGGTGAGCCCCGTGGCCCACCCTCCAGCTCCCCACCTCACCCCGCCTGCACCACCCAGCATGTCCAGACTGCGTGCACGTGAGGCCCTGAGCCACCGTGCACACGGGTGGCACCAGCCAGTGACGACGGCCCAGGACCCCAGGGCTGCGAGCAGGCCTTCCGTGACCTCTGTGGTGCCCACAGGCACGCAGGGCCCTAGCTGCTGGCTGTGTGGCCCGAGCCCTGGAAAGGTCCACACTGGCACATGACCGAAGATCAGTGTGACATGGCTAAGACCCAGTACCAGCTACTGCTGATACACAGAAAGAGTGTTTCTGAATGTATTTATGTATTCACTTATTTTTGATTTTGGTTTTTTTGAATCATAGTCTACGTAGCCCAGGCCGGCCTCAATCCTCCTGCCCCAGCCTCCCCAGTGCTGGGATGACAGGCATGCACCACCACACCTAGGCCAAATATAACTTAAATATATGGCATAAAACTTCACTCCTTGCCCTTTTTCTCATCTTTCCTTTTTTCAGGCAGAGTATCAGTGTGTAACCCAAGCTGTCCTTGAACTCATGGTGATCTCCCTGCCTCAGCCTCCCTAATCCTGGGTGGTGCTGCCGCACCCGACTCTTTCTCATCTCTGGAGCACGGCTGTCCCCTCAGGACAGGCGCTGGCGGTGGCCCCGCGCCCACTCACCCGCAATGAGGGTGCTCTGCTGCCGGGCCTGCTCCAGCAGCAGCACATGCTGCAGCAGGGACGCGTGCCCATGGGTGCCCGTGTCGCCCTCCAGTGCCACGCCCAGTAGGCAGCCAGGGATGGAGGAAGTGCTCAAGAACTTGCCGGTCAGCGAGCCGCCTGGCTGCAGAGACTGGAGGGCCTGCCTCTCGGCCTCCTGCTGCGTCGCCAGCTTCGGGGAGGTCTGGGGGGATGCGAGTGTGTGTGTGAGGAGGGCCCCGTGGCTCCGCCCTCTACCCACCCAGTCCGGGAGGGCTACCGACCCTGGCACTCACGGGGAGGTGCGAGTTGGTGATGGTGACAGTGGCCTGCAGCCCTAGGGAGATGTTGGGCAGAGAGGGGGACGTGTAGAGGCTAAACTGGTTGGGGGAGCTGTCCAGCGCGGGGGCCCGGTGCTGGGGGAGCATCTGAGGAAGGAGAGAAGGCGTGAAGGCGGCCGCGCCAGCACAGCCGCCCCCAAGCATCCCTGCGGGCAGAGGCCGGGCAGGCGCCTGGGCTGCGGGTACCTCGGTGGGGATGTTGGGGACGGAACCCGTAAAGCCGTTCTCAGCAATGGTGCCATGGGAGCTGTTAGGAGAGCTGGGGCCGGAGCCAGGCGCACTGTTACACACGGACGGCCCTGCAGGAGAAGCAGCCGTCACTGGGGCCTGCTCTGGGCCACCCGTTCCCAGGCCCTCCAGAACGAGGAGCGGATCCTACCCCCAGGGCCAGTGCCCGTCATCTCCACGGCTCTCTTCTTAAAGGTGCTGATGACGGTCCCGTCCTTGCGGCGCAGGAGCGGGCTGCTTCTCCGCTCCGCCACCTTCTGCTTTAGCCTTGACCGAACTTTCAGGTTGGGCTCCGAGGCTGAGGGGCATGGGGGCCTCAGCGTGGCCGTGGCTGCACCCACTGGAACCCAACCCCACAGTGCTGCCCTGCCTGCCCCCTGCCCGTAGGGCACGGGCCACCACGCACCTGTCTTGCGGAGGGGGAAGTCGTCGCGGCCCTCATAGGGCCCCAGCAGAGGCAGCTTGTAGGAGGGAGGTGTCCCAGGGGGGCCGCTCTGGGGAGGGGAGCTCTGGTCCAAAGAAGCGTGGTGGGCTCCCCTGGGGGGGCAGACCTGTCACCCCACGCCCAGCCCGCCAGCTGGGACAGTCAGGGGAGGCCCCTTGGGCACAGGGACAGGGACCAGTCCTGGGTGGCAGGAGAGGAGCGGGGCTGGGGCATCTCCTGGGAAGACGCATGGGGTACCAGGCCACAGGCAGGACCCCGCCACCCACCCCCACGTTACCAGCATTTGGGGTGCTGAGGGAGGGAATGGTTGAGGCCGCCTGGCGTGGGCTCCTTCGACTTGGACAAGAGGAACTCCTGCAGCCGCAGCTTCACCTCAGTGCTGGCGATGGCACCTGCAGGCGGGGCCGCTGAGCCGGGCACTGGGCCGCGAGACCCGCCGCCCACGCCCACGCCCTTACTCTCTTTGCTCTTTTCCTTGTGGCGCAGGACCAGCAGCTGCTGCTCCAGCCGCTGCCTCTCCAGCTCCTCCTGCCGCTGCTGTTCCCGCTGCCGCTGTTGCTCCAGATCTCGCTGCCGCTGGGCTGCCAGCCTCTCCTGCTGCTGCTGCGGGCGGGAGGTGGGCAGGTGGGAGCGTGAACAGGCATGGGCACAGAAGGGCAGGGCCAGACCTGGCCACCCCATGCTCACCTGCAGGTGCTTCTGCAGCTGCGCCTCGTGCTGCCGCGTCAGGTGTGCGTGCTGCTTCTGGAACTCAGCAAACAGGAGCTGCTTCTGCAGCTGCTGCTGCTGCTTCAGGGCTGCCAGCTCCTGCTGCAGCTGCCGCTCCCGCATCGCGGGGTCTGTGGGGTCCACAGGCTCCACGGCCCCGGGAGCCACCCGCCGCACCCCAGGCCCCACGGTGCTGGGCATGGCCCCAGGCAGCGCCGTCTTCACCTCCACTGTGGGCATAAGAGGAGAGGGCTTGGTGGGCGCCGGGCAGGACCGGGCCCTGTAGTGCAACACGGGCATCAGGATGTGCTGCGGAATGCTTCTGCCCACCGTATGAAGAGACAAGACAGTGCCCAGAACTCCAGAGAGGAAGCATACGGGGGGCCGTACACAGCTGGAATAAAGTGCTGCCTCAGCAAGCACAGGGCCCAGGCTGGGTCCCCAGCACCATGCACAACGGTCACCTCAGCACTCAGGAGGCTGAGGCAAGAAGATGGCTGCAAGGTCAAGCTCAGACTGAGCAACACAGACCCTATCCTAAAACAGGTGAAACAGGAGAGGAGGAAGAGGAGGGAGCTGGGCACAAGAGGAAGAAGCAGAGTTGGGGAGGCACCAGAACGCATCTCAGCAACCAGCAGACCACACCACGCACACGCAGCACAGTGCGGACACTGGCAGGGAACACAGCCGAGCACTGGACAGTCACTGCACCCTCACAGATGCGGACGCTGAGGCAGGAGGACTCCCAGAGCCAGCGGGAGGTTGGAGAACCAGGCTGTGAGTGCAGACCTTGCACCCCAGCCCGGTGTGGTGGTGCAGGCCAGTCATCCCAGCACTCAGGAGGCTGAGGCAGGAGGATCACCATGAGTTCCAGGCCAGTCTGGGCTGCACAGTGAGTTCAAAGCCAGCGTGAGCTACACAGCGAGACCCTGTCTCAAAAAAAAACACTTTCCAGCTTTGTTCACTTTTCTGTGCCTTCTCCTGACCTCTTAACACTGCACACCCGCCAGAGCCTACACCAGAAGAGAAACAGAAACCGGGCATGGTGGCGCATGCCTGTAATGCCAGCACTCAGGAGGCTGGGGCAGGAGAATGGCGAACGTTGAGTGCGAGACCAGCCTGAATGCATAGCAAGACCCTGTCTCAAAAAACCAAAAAAAAGTGAAACTGAGGCCCAGATGCTGGCTCCAGAGCTGCTAGGGTGCCAGGTGAACCCTGTCCTGGGGATGGCTTCTGCAGGTCCCGCCCTCTGCACCTCCTTCAGCAGGGCAGGCGGGAAGGGGAGGGATGAACGGGGCAGGGATGCAGGGCCCAGACTGTGGACTGACGAGGGGGCTGGGAGCCGCCGGCTTCCTCTGCTGGATTATCTCCTTTCAACAGTTTTACTGTAATTACCCTGAACACAGCACTATATATAGGGTGAGCCAAACAGCAGCTGTGTGGGGGAGGGGACAGGAAGGAGAGGGAATGGGACAGGAAGCAGGGCAAGGAGGCGGCCCTCGCCCCATCCTGATGCACAGGAGTCGAGCAGGCAGGCGGGCAGGGGCTGGGGGGTTCCAGGACCTGAGCCCCCCACCACGGACAGCGGGCTGAGGGTCCTGGGGCGGCGTAGATGGTTCCCACCAATGGACTCATTGGGAGGCTGGGCCTCCACCTGAGCGCTGTCCCCTGGTCACCTAAAGTCACTTGCACCAGGGCCCTGCGGTTGCTAGGGAAACCAGGCAAACACCACGCCAGCAGGGAGCCCCAAGCCCAGCCCAGCAGGAAGGGCGGGCAGGAAGCAGCCTGGGAGGAGGAAGTGAGAAGGCAGGACCGCCCATCTGGTTTCTTTTCCACTCTTCCCGAAGCCAGACCCCTTTCCTCACATAGCCCGGGGAGCCCCTGGCTGCAGGAAGGGCTCCAACGCCAGGGGGCCTGCAGAGGGCAAAGGACCCCATCCTGGACAGCTGTGTGAGACAGGCCTCTCCCAACTGGCAGCCACGGCAGGACAGGAAGAGCTGGGGTGTCACCCAGGCAGAGCAAGACCACAGGAGGCCGATGGGCACCAAGGCAGGGTGGCGGTGAGGCCTGAGTGGTGTCTCTCTGTCCGACTGCTGTAGCCCGCCTGGCCAGGCACATTCCTCAGTGGTCTCCACTGGCTATACTGATGACTGCGGCCGCCAGGCCAGAGCCACCTCTGCAGGAGTGGCCAGACGTGGCCAGGAGGGTGGAGCTGCGAGAGCGTGCACGAGGACACACTCTCACTTCCAGCCCAGGGCCTGGCCCAGGACCAAGAGCCAGGCCGTGGAAATGGGCCTTCCAGGAAGTAGCCTTGTCCAGGGCAAAATGCAGGTGGCACCCCGCAAGGACCCAGCTGGCCAGGGCTCTATCACCAGGCAAGGCTGGCTTAATCCTGGCACTCTGCTCCTCAGCCAAGTGAGGATGGTGACACCCTGTGGCCTCCACAGTGCGCCCAGGGTGCAGGGGGCGGACGCCAGCCACTCGCCCAGCCAGGGCGGGGTTCCAAGCCCCTGCTCCCAGCGGCTGACCCGCACGGGCAGGAAGCACGGCCGGCAGGGCAGGTTCCCTCGCACAGGGCCCCGCAGCGCCCTTGGCAGCAGGAGGACGCAGCACAGCCTGGGCCGTGCGGGATTTCACCTGCAGCAGCTCAGAGCACACCAGGGCTGCAGGGCAGCACCAGGCTCTGCCCAGACGAAGGGGCCCGGCCGTGCAGCTAGACTCAAGGAGAAGGCGACAGCCAGTCCTCAAGTCCCCAGAATGTCCACAAACCACAGCCTGGCTGCTGGGTGCACCCTGCAGGACGGGTGCCCTTGCCCACCTGGCACAAGCAGAGCAGGTGGCGGCGCCTGCCATCAAACCCAGCGCCTCGTGAGGGAAGAGGTGTGGCAGTGGGCGCCTGTTGGCCAGGCCAACTGGGCAGGCTGGGGAAGCTCAGGAGGGAGTGGGCAGAGGGGTGCTACTCTCACAGGGACACACTGGACACTACCCAGCAAAACGTCCCTCAAAATCCCAGGAAGAGGTCACGGGGCGAGGCCGCCTCCCTCCCTCCCTCCCTGCCCTGGGCCATACACTCTGACAGCACCGTGGAACCCAAAAGCCAGCCACCACAGCCGGCCTGTGGAGACCGTGGAGACTGGGCATGCCTCCTGCTGGCCTGGTGTCGACCCTGCCCACAACGGTGGGGCAGCCAGGGCTGCCATCCTCTTCCGCCAGGGCGCCGCAGCACTGAGTTCCAGCCTCTCTCTGCTTCAGAGCCTCAGTGGCCTGGGGGCTCCAAGGCAGATATCCAGGGCAGCGCAACCAAGGTGCACAGCTCCATGGCAGTGCCAACAGCAGCCCACACTGTAGCTGGCATGGCCCCATCTAAAACATGGTGCCCAGACAGGGGCACTGCCTCCTCGCAGCCAGAGGCGTGTGGCCTCAGGGGCAGGCTGGCGCAGCAACTCTGCACATAAGCGTGGAGAGCAAGGCGGCCTCACCTCTGCCCGGGGCACACCGCACCTGGGCCCCACTGCATGGTCTGAGCCCAGCAGGGGTGGCACCCGAGTGCCCCGGGACAACCTGGAGTGGCACTGTGAGGCCTGTCTGGCCAGAGCTGCTGGCCTCAGAGGGCCCAGGGAGGGGTGCGGCGCCTCGGCACTTGCACAGAGTGAAGGGAGGCTCAGAGCAGCCCCAGCTGGGAAGGGCAGCCCTGCTCGAAGGGGCTTTGTGGTCATCTGCTCTGCACTGTGACTCAAGGAAAGACACCCAGTGCCTCGGAGATGCGGGCCCAGCAGCAGCAAAATGCGGCCAGTGTCCCAGCGCCAGCAGGCCGGGCCCCAGGCACTGCCATCTGCTGGGCCCGCCACAGCCCCACAGCCAGGGCAGCTGCAGGCAACCCCCTCCATGCCTTGTCACCCTGTTCTGTCCCTGAGAAGGGGCAAGGTTCTCATCTTGTCCCGGCCCGAGGACGCTGGAAAGGAGGCGGGCGCGGCGGGCTGTGAAGCCGTGACCCGTCCCCACTGTGGCCGTTCCCAGGATCTATTTCTGGGCTCTTACGTGACAGGGAGGCCGCTGTTGGCCCAACAGGTTCCACCACAATTCCAGCGTTCCCACGTGTGCGGCCAGTGACTCTCACCCAGAGATTTGCGTAATGCACCGCGTAACGCTCAGGGCGGGACTCAGGGTGCAGCCAGGGCATGGGCAGCACTGCCTCCTGGGCTGCTGGGCTGGGTATCCCCAAGCTCCGAGCTGGCCCTGGCAGAGCCACGGCACAGCACCCACCTACTGGGGCTGCAGGCTGGCTGGATGTGGCCAGGACTTAGGCCCAGGCCGGCTAGTCTTGGGAGGTGCTCGCCAGGGCAGTCAACCTTGCTGCAGTCTGGTGACACCCTGGCACCCTGGCCGGGCACCGTGTCTGTGGGCTGGGGTGCAGATAGGGGTGCTTGCCTATGAGGCCTAGTACCATCCCCCAAACCCCAAAAAGTAGTTTCTAAAGAGCACAAAACAAAATGTCTAGAATCCACAGGGCCAACGTCACAGGCCCAAGTTGTAAAGATGCTGGGCTCACACCTGCCAGCTCGGCCCAGCTCCCTCCCTTGACGTGAGCCGCACAGTGACCATGTCCCCCCAGAGGCCCTGCTGGGGGCTCCACTGGACACCAGGGCCAAGCACCTCGCCTGCCTGCTGTCTCCAGGAAGGGCCACTCTGTCCTCCGCAGTGGAAGTCACAACAAAACACGGCCTGGCACACATGCACACGAGGGTGGTTCCAAGCATGAGAAATTATTCCTGGGTCTCTAGCCACTATGCCCACCATACGTAAGGGCTCCCTGTCTCACTTCCTCCTGGCTGACACCTGGAGGACCTGTGCCCCTCCTGTAACCAGAGCCACACGACACGACTCTCCCAGCCAGAGGAGACTCCGGCAGGGCACCTGGGAATGAGGTGTAGGGCCAGCACCCCACTGCAAAATGGAAGATGAACAACGTGTGGGGGTGCACACCTCTAATTGCAGACCTTGCGAGGCTGAGGTAGGAGGATTGCTGCAAATTCGAGCCCAGCCTGAGGTACCTAAGGAGACCCTATCTCAAAAACAAAACAAAAATGCAAGGGAAACCCGAAGGCTGCTCCTGGATTTCTTTCTTTTTTTTTTTTTTTGAGACAAGGTCTCAGTATGCAGTCCCGGCTGGCCTTGAACTCACTTTGTAGCCCAGGTTGGTCTCAAAATCACGACGATCCTCCTGCCTCAGCCTCCCGAGTGCTGGGATTACAGGCGTGCACCACCATGCCCAGCTATGCTCCTGGATTTCAAAAGAGCTGCAGCAGGAGTACTGCTCAGTGTCAGGGTCCCAGAATCAGGACAAGAAACACGGCTGGTTCCCAGAGCACAGGGGACAAGGGACCGTGTGGCGGGAAGGCTCAGGGTCTGGAGGGTGACCATGACCATCAAGACCCTGGACCTCCAGGCTGGGCGTGGTGGATACCCCGTAACCCTAGCACTTGGGAGGCTGTGGCAGGAGGAGCGCTGCAAGTTGAAGACCAGCCTGGGATAGGAAAAAAACAAAAAAAACCACAGTAAAGCAAGACCTGACAATACGGCTGTGACACTCGGCAGAAACACAGTGAAGATGGGCCGGCGCCCAGCTCGGGGAGAGCAGCCCCATCTCCCTGCTTCTCTGGGAAACATCTGGGAACAAAGCTGGAGGCTATGCTATGGCACAAGGGCACGCAGAGTCAGGGCTGTGGGCTGCGGCAGCAGGGGCAGCAGAGCGGCCTTCTCACCACGCAGCCATCCCCGTGAGGCTGGTCAGGCCCCGTCCTCGCTGTGGCCCCACGCCTGCCCAGGCAGCATCCCCACATGTGCGGACCCCGGTGGCTATGCTGCAGACTGGATTCCCATCTCTCTCCACAAGGCCCCTCCCACCAGAGCCTCTGGGTGCCCAGACCCCCAACTTCACAGAGTGAAACAGCGGACCCTTCCTTCCTCCACCAGGGCCCGGCCCAAGAATGACAGAACCACCCGAGACCAGAGTGCCAACGACGGTGGGGGTGCTTGCCAGCCTGGGGCACACACATTGACATGCTCCCCGGGCCCCACCAAGACCGGCATGACAGCGTCCTGCTACCGATCCACAGCTGTTACAGCGGTGCCTGCGGATTCAGTGAACCTGATTTCCTGTCCGGCAGCTGTGCAGCCGGGGAGGGACAGCTGAGGCCTCAAGGACAGAGGCCAGGAGGGGGAAGCCAGGACAGGAGAAGCTGTGACACAAGGGCGAGGCACTCAGCTCTGCTTCCCTGGGGCCCAAGTTCACCCAGGAAGAGATGTCGCCCACCTAGTGACCCCAGACTTGCAGAGAGCAGGGCCTGGCCTCAGAACCCCCAGAGGCTCCCCCAGGCCAGGGCGCTCCCCTGATCTCCAGGGGCACGAAGTGGCTCATGGAAGTGGGCCCACCACAGAAGGTTGCACAGGTTGTACACTGCAAGTGGCATCCCATGGAGGCAGGGCGAGCTGGGGCTGGAACCTAACCCTCGCCCCTTGCTAAGCTGTGACAGAGGCGCAGGGCGCACCCTCCCAGAAGGGAGCTTCCACATGGAGCGTGGATTAGCAAGGGCCCACGCCAAGGCCGGGTTCAAATGCCACCTCACTGTGCCCGCATCAAGTCCCTCGGCCTCTCCGGTCCTCCTTCCTGGACCGTGAGGCAGGGGCACCCCGCCCCCCGCCATGCTGCAAGACCAGCCCCCGCCAGGCGGGCCCCGCCATCTTCCACCACACCCCATGCACACAGCCACAGAGCACCGGCACAGAGGGACATCAGGGAAGGCAGTAGCGCCCTCCTCAAGTGGGGTCAAAGTCCCTGGAGTGCTCTCCTGGTCCTGGGGGCCAGACCCACAGCCCATGCATGAACCACATGCCAGCTTCTCTGTTGTTTATGTTTTAAGGGTCTCCTTAAGTTGCTGTTACCCAGATGGGACTTTAACTTATGATTCTCCTGCCTCAGCCTCCCTTCACGCTCTGCACACTGCCCAGGCCGTCAGCCAGACCCAGGCCCACAGAGGGGAGCCCAGAGTCCAGGGCAGGAGACCAGCAACTCCCAGGAAGCCCACAGGGAGCTGGGCTGGTGGAGCGGTGCTGGCCATGAGACCCGGCCCCTCCCCGCAGGAGCAGCAGCACACCTGCCCTCCCTAACGAGGTTCAGTCGCCAGAAGTGCAGGCCCCAGCAGAGCTGGGAATTGGGCTAGAGCCCAGGCTCCACCCACCGCAGCGCTCATTCATCCAGGTGCCAGGCACAGTGCAGGGGCCTGAACACTGGCAGCCAGCAGGACAGCACAAGCCAGTACCCACATCTGTCATCCCAGCACTCAGAAGGCTGAGGCAGGAGGATCACCACTGGTGCAAGGCCAGCCTGGGCTCCATACCAGATCCCTGTCTCAGAAGAACCAAACAGGAACAACAAAGCATACAGCCCAGACAGCAAATGCTGCCCTTCAAACAGTGCCCAGGACGCACTGCGGAAGGGCAGGGAGGCCCGCCTGGAGGGCCTGCTCTAACTCTTCGGGCTGGGCACCTGCACACACGCCACCTGACACTGCTACCTGCCACCCAGAAAGCACTGGGGAGCCGCTGCCAGCCACAGGCTCTGGGACCCACACCCTGCTGGTCAGGTACGGGGGGGACACCAGAGTACTGCCTGCCTCAGTATCTGGGGTGGATGTTTCTTTAAGCCAAAGGTTAAACTGTTTCTATTTGAAACATCTATTTACATTCCAGAGTCCAAAAAAAAAGGGAAAGGAGGCAGCCAAGCCCCAGGCCTATATCTGTCCCCAGCCGCACGTCAGAGACACACCGTGGTCGCTTGGGGGGACATTCCTAGCCCTCTCCCATCGCCACCGGGGTGACTCACACCTCCCTCTTGCCAGGAGCCCCGGGCCCGGCTGTGTGGGGTGGGAGGACAGGGCAGCAGGCCCAGGCAAGGGGACAGGTCCAGCCCGCAGTCCAGCCAAGTGCTAGGCCAGGGACAGGCCGGTGCGGGGCAAGGGAGACACCCAGGGGAGCAGAGGCTGCAGCTGGGGGCAGAGGCAGGGCTAGAGCCAGAGCTGCAGGCTCAAGCAGCACAATGAGAACCAGCCTGCTCAGGCCCCCTTGCTCGAAGATGCCTTTGCAGGGTCTCCACACCAGCGCCACAGAGACCCTGCCCCTATCCTGCTGTCCTGCCATGGGGCCGGGATTTCCAGAACCTTCCCCAAACCTCATCCCAGCGGCTCAAAGCCAAGTCTTAGAGAGGTGCAGGGGCTCATGGCCCACCTCCTACCCAACTCAGAGCCTTGGGCCCCACAGCCACACAGCCAGAGGCCAGGACTTCCCACGGCACGCACACTCGTGCACACATGCTCACACGCGCCAAGCTGTGGCCAGGAGGGCCCATGGGCACACGTCCAGCAGCCCCTCCCTATAGGAAGCATCCTGCGGTGCCGGACCGGTGGGGTAGCCGTGCCAGGAGGGCCTGGTGCCACCAACAGGTTCCAGGGAGTAGGGAGGAGTGGCCCCTCGGGGAACCCCACCCCTGTACAAAGCCAAGAAAGTCCCCACCAAGGAAGCTGTGGGTGAGAGACCCAAGCCCACCTGGGCCAGGCTGACAGCTCTCCAACCTCGGGCTAGCGGGGAACAGGGAATGGGAAACGGGGGCCAGGCACTGGGGCGCCAAGCCCGACACACCCGCTGCAGGCCCTGCCTGGCCCCAGCAAGTCGCCTCGAGCCCCCACCCCATCAGTGTGCCTGACCTTACCCCCAAACACCAAGCCAGAGCAGCTGGGGTACCACCTACTCAAGGGGACGGATACCCCAGCTGCAGCTCCCCTCCACACCCACTCAGGGGCAGGGAGCCTGGAGACCACACATCACTGACCCAGGAACCCTGGGCCCAGCAGTGAGGTAACTCCTGCAGGCTACAGGACCGAGGACGCTGGGCAGCCTGGACAGAGCAAGGGGTCCTGAGGAGGTGACCTGCAGGAGCAGGCATGGCCCGCCCTCCCCATGGTCAGCACGGCCTCCGAGAGCGACCAAGCCGGCCTCACCTCAGGGAGGCATGGAGTGAGGCGTGCAGCGGACGCTGGCCCTGCCGGGGCAGGCAGACAGACGCAGTGGGCGCTTACCTGCCACAGGGATGCCGTGCAGCGGTGTCCGTGGCAGGATCTCCAGGGACGGCTCCCGGCCAGGCACGCCATCTGCTGAGAGAGAGGGCTCCGTCTCGTAGATGGTCTGCAGCACCTCCAGGAGCCCCTGTGCTTTGGGTACCAACAGCATGCCCGGGAAGGGCATGCACAGCAGGCGGAGGGTGGTGGCGGCTCAGGGACTCCCTCCAGTCACCACAGGACCTACACTCAGGGACTGCCAGGCCGGGCTGTGGAGCTAGGGACACCGTCCCAGCTCACAGCACCCCACTGGCCTGCGGGCTCAACGGACAGGAGGGAGCTCGGCAGGCGGGCAGGCGGCTCTGCGTCCCCTCCCAACCCCACTGACAGCTCTGGGCCGGCTCCCTGCTCCACCGAGTGAGCCGCCGGCAGCTGGCAGGAGACTGAAATAGCAGCTGGGGGAGGGCCCTGGCTATAAATAGGTGGAGCGCTTGGAGCGCGGGCTGCCAGGAGCCCGGCTGGCGGAGGCCCCGCGGGGCGGCGCTCCACCCAGGAGGGAGAGCCAGCGGAGGGGAGGGGACAGGACCGGACGGGACGGAAGGGGAAGGGCCCCAGGCCAAGGCTGAGCAGCTTGGGCCGGCTGGCAGAAACCAGGCTGGGGCTGGCATGGGCCAGCGGCCCACGGGGTCTGCTCTTCGCTCCCCATTTGCCACAGGAGAAAGAGGGGACAGCTGGATGCGCGGACAGACACCACCACCTGGCCTGCCGTCCCGGATCCTCCTGCTCGCAGCACTGGGACGGACTTGGGCCCTGGGGCCTGCTGGCCAAGGACTCAGGTGTGGAGCTACATGCCCAGTCCTAACACTTCCGCACTGAGCCCAAAAAGGTGGTGCATGCGCCTGTGACCCTAGCACTCAGGAGGCTGAGGCAAGAGGACCGCTGAGTTTGAGGCCTGCCTGGGCCACATAGGGAGACCCTGTATCAAATAAAGTAAAGTAAAGTAAAATAAAATAAAATATTATCCTTATTTTTGAGATAGTTTCGCTCAATTGTGCAGGCTGGGCTGGAACCTGGGATTCTCATTTCAGCCTCCTTTGTAGCTGGGAGCACAGGTGCACTGACACCCCTGGAGTCCTCTAAACGGCCCGTGGGGCTTGCCTCCAGCAAGGGCAGGGTGCTAGTGCTGGGCTAGGCCCGTACAGGGCACCTCACCTTCCCTGCATGATGACCTCAGGGGAGAGGTACAGATGAAGAAACTGAGGCACCAGTGATCACAGTCACTCGCCCAATGTCACCCGGCTGCCTACACAGCAGGGCTGGGAACTGACCTGGGGCTCCCACCTGAGTTCTAACTGCCCAGTCCACTGCCTCCTGTGAGGCCCAACAGGGACACCTGGGGCCTCTACTGCGAGCTATGGGGAACCAGGGCCCAGCAGGACAGCGCCAGGAGCCCCTGCACTGTGCCTGACCCCTGATCTTCTGAACCTTTTAATAGCCTAGTTACTCCTGGTATCATGGTTGCTATTTTGGGGCCGTCTGGGCCCCTTCTTGCCCCCTACTCTAAGCATGGAGCCAGAAACACCTGTCCTCTCTCTGCACTGGACATCTCACTCTCCTGTCGGGGGCCTGATGATGCTGGCCAAGTGAGGACACGATGGCCATGACTCCTGGAGCCCAGCTTCCACCAGCCAGGGCTAGAAGTAGGGTTCCTCCTGGAGCGGGCAACAGGGACAGGGCCAGAGACAGAGGCAGGCCGCCCCCTGGGTCTGGACGGGGGAGACAGCATAGAAGGAACCGGGTGGGGGCCGGGAACCACGCAGACACCACCACCAAGCAGCTTCTAAGAGACAGCAACGCCTGCCCCGCTCACCCAGAGCTCGAAAGCACCAGGCTCCCAGTTGGGGTGGGCCCAGGACCAGAGTGCCCGCACGTGGGAAGACGGACAGCAGCGTGCAGGCCCCAGAGGCAGTGGGGCTCCCGGGACTAGCCAGCAGTCAGATCTGCCCATCACAGGGCCAACTCACAGGGTCCTCTAGGGGAGCAAGGGGGTGCCCTGGCCAGAACGCCACACGGACAAAGAGGCCAGGAGCCCCCATGGCACCAACCCACTTGCCCTCCTCACGTGGCACCTCTCACGGAGCACTAAGGGCGAGCTCGGGCTGGCACAGGGACGCCGAAGTTCTTGCCCCACCCTGCACCCATGCCCCAGTTTCTCCGGGAACTCAGAAAGGAGGGGGTGCCACCTCCCTCAGGGACAGGGAAGGAGAGAAAGTCGAGAGCGCTGGGTGGCACTGGGCAGACAGGTGCCATCACGCACACCTCCCACCCACGCTGGGGACAAGAACCTGGTCGCTCCCGCGGGGACGTGCCACCGCCCAGACCGGCTGGCGGGGCAGGCCATGTGCTTTCTTCCCTCTGGGTGACGACATGGGAACAGGGGTTGACCAAGGCCCCCAGGCCTGCCTGGGGCAGACGTGGGCTGGTCCCCACGACCCAGAGCCAGCCAATAGCTCCCGGGGAGCAGGTGGCCCCTGCAGACTCCCAGGGCTGCCGAAGTGGGGATGGGGTGATGGGGACCCAGGTGAGGAACCCTCCACCATGTGCACCTAAGACCGGCCAAGACTCCCCCCTAACGCCACCGTGAAGACAGTAGGGACCATGCCCGTTTTCAAGGCCTGCAGGCCTGGTGTGCGGGAGATCTCAGCAGGGCACAGACTCGCAACGGGGGGCTCTATGATGAGATGCCTCTACTGTACCAGGCCTGCTCCGCTACCCAGGGTGCCCACCCTCAGGCCAGAGAAAGCGGCACACAGAAGCCTCTGTGCTCCCAGGGGCTCTGCTGCCACATCCTGGCCTGAGCCTGGCCTCGGGTCAGTCAGTGGACACCAGGCTCTCACAGGAGCTCAGAGCCCACCATGCAGTGACCTCCACCCAGATAAATCAATCAACAAATGAAACACCTCTCTTAGCCGCTAGCAGCTGGGTCCAGGGTCCCTCTACACCCTGGCCAGGGTGAGGCTCCAACCAGCGGTCAGAATCTCAGCCCTGAGGAGGAGGGGCTGTCATGATCACTAAGCAACCTGACCCACAAGGGCAGTGCCAGTAGAGACAGGCCAGGGCCTGAGGGACACCCCCAGCCTGCCCAGTCCCACCAAGCGAGCTAGGAAGCAGAGTCAGGGCACGGACCCGACAGCACCCGGTGCAGTGCAGGGATAAGGGAATGAGGGGGTGCGACAGGGGGCTTCTCTCCCTGGCCCCTGCTTCCCAAAAGGAACTACTACTGCGCACCTTACAGAGAGGCTCGTGCAAGGGCCCCGTGGAGCTAAAGCTAGCGAGGCAGAAGGCCAGCTCTCCAGACTGCACGAAAGACAGCCAGGGCAGTGACCACCCCACTGCACGAACCATGGCCTTTCGGGGACCCCAAGGGCCTGGCTCCAGCCACCTGGACACAGCCACAGCCACCTCACATACAGCGCTCTCCATCCCCCAGGGCGCACCGTGGCAGCGCTGGACAGAGCCCTGGGGCCAGGGGAGCGGGAGACCACCAAGACCAGAACCAGAACTCTACTGTGTCCAGAGTCTGAGAGGGAGGGGCGGGGCTCCCTGGGCTGGGCAGAGCCGAAACCCTCACACACAGGGCCCGCTCCCACCCCAAGGCCACACCCCCGAGCACGGGCATTCACCCCGCAGGCCCAGACACACTCAGGGTGTGCAGGCCCCCATGCCAAGGGCCACGGCAGGCAGCAGTGGGCATGGCTTCCCAGGGCTGCTCATTCTCCAGTCAGCCACGGGTGGCCTCTGTCTTTCCTTACAAAGCCTCTCCCCTCCCCACCCCTGTCCATTCCAACAGCTCAGGCGAGGCCGACGGCCTAGAGAGAAGCCACACTGTCCAGCGCACCCAGAGCAGCCCTTACCCGGCTCGGTGGGAGAGTTCATGCCGGCTCTGGGCCCACAGGAAGCCGGCACGCACCGGGGTTGGGACGGGAGGAGGTGGAGCTGCAGTGATGTCAAGAGAGACAGACGACAAAAGACAGACGGACGGGACAGGAGCCCGGGGCCGCTGCGCCCCTACTGCCCATCCAAGGCCATCCTCCGGCTGAAGCGATCAGGCACTCACAGCAGCATCCCTGAGGAGAGACGGAGGGTTAGAGCAGAGCGCAGGCACAAAGGAGGTCGGGGCGCCAGACCCTGCTCCCCCTCTTCCCAGGTGGCGAGGCCCTTGGTGCCCAACAGGCACGAACAGCCAAGGCCTCGGGGTCTGTGGAGGCTTCGCAAACGCCCAAGGTGCCGCAGTGAACGTGGCCGTGGGGCGCAAAGTCATGACCAAGAGCCCCCCCAAGGCCGAGGGGCCGGGAGCCCCACTCCTGGAGCTAAGCTAGGTCCTGGGGTCATCTCCCTGTGCACCTGGCCCTGCGGACCCTGGGAAGGCAGACGTGCTTGTCCTGTCCTGTTCAGCATGGGCCAAGGCCTCAGCATCCATTCCCAGGGTCCAAGAGTCAGAGATCCCAGCCCAAATCCAGCACCCAGCCTAGGGGTCCAGGGCCCAAGCCCAAGGCCCCGAGTTGCACAGGCTGCACGCTGCGTGCAAAGGAATGAAATCCCCTGCTCAGCCTGATGCCCGAACGAGGGACATGTTTTCCGGTGTGTGCCAAGACACCTAAACGCCTTGCAGTCCCGGAGGACTACAGGTCTGGCCACTTGACCCCACCCTGGCTGCACCTCAGCCTCAGACACCGGGCTGCAACCACTTGGGCCACCCAGACGTGATCTCACCCTGGCCTCCACCTGAGGCCTCCACCCCTAGGAACACAGAGCAAAGGGATCCAGGAGGCAGCAGCTCAGCCCCTCAATGCCAGCAGGATGCGTCTCCAGCACCATGTTCTGGAGTGGGGCCTGGGTGGAGCCCAGGAGTCAGGCTACCTTCAACGGAAGACCCAGGGTCTCTGTCCCTATCCCCTGCACCCCCACAGGCCTGGACGTGGGTTTGCAGAGGGGGAGGGCCTGGGGTCAGGGCCAGGTGAGGGCTGAGGATGGAGGAGGCTGCCAGGGCTGGAGCCACACTCAGGAATGCAGCAGGTGGAGCCAGGCACCCAGGCAGCACCCACATCGGCAGGCACTCACCGGGGCCCACTGAGACCTGGCGCCTGGTCCTGCTCACGCCTTTTCCCGTAGGCCAAGGAGCCCAGACTTGGAAATTCCCGTGGCTGGCCACGCGCAGGGGCCTGGCCCTTCTCCAAGAGCGGCAGAAACTCAAGCTCAGCCCCGAGCCCACCGCGAGCCCGTTGTCCTCGGCCACTCGAAGGCCCAGGCCAGCTTCCACTGCCAGGCAGCAACCCTGCAAGGTGGTAACCCTACAAGGCAGTCAGCCACAGACCCCAGGCTCCCCAGGAATAGAGCTGTACAATGTGTCCTGACAGGGAAGGACCAGGAGAGGTGCAGACTCCCACCTGGGCTAGGGCAGAGGGGCTAGGGCAGAGGGACCAGGGTGACCAGGGTTCAGCCCTGGGTGGCCCGCGCTGCCCACACTTTCCCCCGCAGAGGGCTCATCACTGAGACCTGGGTCTGGAGCAGCAGGAACAGGACCGTGTGGCTCCTGGAGCACCAGCGGCTGGGGTGCCAAGCCACGGAGCAGCCCGGCTCCCTCGAGGTCCTCAGGGGCAGGTCCCAGAGCCTGAAGGAGGCTGTGCCCCCTCACTCTGGTGGCCAGTCCTTTCTCACCCTCTGGGACCCAGACCCACCTCCCACCAGGACAGCAGGGCCCTGGGAACCCGGCTGCATTTCACCCTGAGGTGAGCGCTGCTGAGCACATAGGACTGGGGCGGGGCCGCGGAGACGCCCCCACCCCACTCCTGAGCAGCGAAACCTCGCTTGGGGCTTGGGCTGCTGGAGGAGCCAGGCAGCACCCAAAGGCTGGCACTCACCAAGCGCCCAGAGGGACCTGGTCCCTCAAACGGCTCCATCGGGACTCCAGGCCCCGCAACTCCGGAGGTCGCCTCAGGGCCTGGGGACCCACCAATTTGCAGCATCCCAGCTCTGCCCGAGAAGCGACCAGCGCGGGGCGGCGAGGCCAGCACCGCGGCCTAGGAGGCTAGATCAGGAACATGGGCCCAGACAGGTCCCCCGAGGGCTTCTCCCCAGCTGGGGCCACAGTAGAACACACACACACACACACACACCCCGCCCAGACTGCCCCCCTGCCCCGTGCGCAACAAGGAAGTCCCCAAAGCTCAGACCCTCGCAGGGCACAACAGGGAGGGGGGCAAAGGAGGGAGAGGCACCGGGCTGACAAAGTCATTCCTGCGATCAGCCCGTTTCTGTTTGTCTGCTCACACGCAGCTCCAGGCATCTGCACCAGCCAGATGGAGGAGGCTGCTATTTCGAGAAAAGGGGGGGAAGGG